ATTTTTTTTTCTTCTCTATATCTAAAAAAAGATAAACGTAATTTAGTAGATAGCACACGTTAAACACTAATTACTGTTATGCTATTTGGAATGTCATCATAAAAAGGGTTACAAATTACCAAAGCAATTATATTATTAGATTTGATATTTTGTTATTTTGAAATGAATGTATTTATTACATATTATTATTTTCATTAACCTGCAATTTGAGAAATACGACATAAGGATTTGTTGTCCATGGATCATTTATGGTGGCTAAAGCTATTATTGCATATCTAATGGTTTTGTGTTAATGGACGGGATATGAGGGTTTGGATGTTCATTTAGCATTTTTGCTGCCCTAAAGTTCTATATCAAACTCAGTGGCTCAGAAGCTAATGTGTTGGAAGATTTATTAAAGGCAATTAATCTTTTTTATATTAGACGAGATGTTGTTTAGAGCGAAAATGACTTGTTGAATCATGTTGGCTTTATAATACCCCGATTTCTAGGATGTCAGCATTAAAAAAATGATAAATTGCAAACTTTCTTGTACCGTGAAAAATGTACTTTTCAAAAAAAACTTATTTCAAACATAATAGTTTCAAAACATTAACTACAATTCCATTGTCTCACTTGTAAACAAATTAACTTTAATTGAAATCTCAAGATCTTTTCCTATCCTCTTTCAAGTCTATCACCTCTCTGGAACATATGTAACATCGTCTGCTCACGTATAACATATTATACAATCATCATCAATAATTTCATTCACAAACACAAATACAAACATGTATGAGGTAAGCTACCAGTAAAACAAAGTTATAATCAAACATCCCATACACATAAGTAATTATAACAGGATTCCTAATCCTCAAAACATAACAATTCAAACATATCTGGATACTTAATACTTTATCATCGATCCTCGATCATCACTAACATCACACACTTAAACTAACAGTTTATCCTCATAGCACCTATGCCAACTATATCACTTGATACCATTACTATCAACATAGTATTTCCCTGATGTTCTATCATCACCATACTCATCCACATGTGTACCTCCATCATGATTAACCTCATCATGATAACCACCATGAGTCTCCTCAAAGACCATAAAACCATAGTGGAAAGAATTAATCATACTCATGTACCTTACCTCATCGACTGTAGTCGCTCCTACAGTCCACCTGTAGCCTCCCCTACGGAACATTTGTAGCCTCCCTTATAGATCTACTCGAGTAGTTCCATAACCTAACTAAGGAACATGTCTTCCTGCCACAAAAGGACAAGAAAGCCACCATCACCCCCACACAAGAAAGGTTCAATACCTGAACAACCAAACCTATCCGTAGATAAAAATCAGGATTTACTAAGTATAGCGAGTAGACCTATCCTCCACTCTCATGCTCATCAACAACTTACTCAGGTACATCCCAACATTCATAAGTCATAAGTCATAAGTCATCCCTCTTACCCATTGAATTAAGTGCTCCTGTGAACAAAATATTTCATTTGTGGTAAATTTATTTGTTAAATCTTCCTCTACAACTTCGTAAATTAATGAAGAGAAATCGGATTTCAAACTACAACCAATTTGAGAATCCATATGAAGATATTCATCCATTTTAAATAATAATCACCTATAAAATTATAATGAGCCTTATTAACATAATTAATAATTAATCAAACAAATATAAAAATATTAATATAATTAAATTATATATTTCATATAAATAAAGTAATAAGTAACTTTTATATAATTATAAAATTATTAAACAATTAAAGAATACAAAAATCATATATAAAAAATATATATTTTACAAAAACACTAAATTTAAAAACTAATTATATATAACTTGCAAAATACAAAAATATAAATATAAACTAATATAATTATACATTATTAAAATACATAAAAAATATAGGTTTAATACCTCTTTTGGTCCCTAGAAAGGGGGCCAATGTTCAATGTCGTCCCACCTTTTTTTAGAAGTTCAATGTGATCCCATCTTTTGTAAAAAGTGTGCAATCAAGTCCTTTTTGGAAACGGCGTTAAGTTTTTAACGGAGCAGCTGACAGGGTGGACTGAAGTTAGCTACGTGGCTTTGTGTGGGTAATACGTGGCAGAGAGAGGGTGATACGTGGCTGTGAGAGGGTAAATCAGAAATTAGGGTTTGAGTTGCAGAGAAATTGGGATTTATTGTCGCCTTCTTCATTCGTCGAACGCAGCCTGGAGAAAAGCCGAAAGAAGAGCACCACCAACAAAGGAGAACTTCACGCCGATTTCAAAGATGGCTAAGAATTTCTAAAAAGGCGTTACAACAGAAATGTGGTCGATAATGTTGCAGGACACCCTGAAATCAAGTCCACCAGAGAACAGAGTGATGAAGAGAGCTAGTTTGATTGGGATAATGACGACAACATTATTTTATGTACTGTGTGGGTGCTTAGGATATGCTGCATTTGGAAATGATGCACCAGGAAATTTCCTCACAGGGTTCGGCTTCTACGAGCCCTTTTGGCTAATAGACTTGGCCAATATCTGCATTGCAGTGCATTTAGTTGGGGCATACCACTTTTTCTTCATCAAGTCCTTTTCACTGCTCTACACACTTCGATTCTCTCCATTTCCAATTGCTACCATGGCAGCAGAACTTGTTGGTGGTGCTCTTCTTTCGGCTTTTCTCCAGGCTGCAAGGCGACAATAAATCCCAATTTCTCTGCAACTCAAACCCTAATTTCTGATTTACCCTCTCACAGCCACGTATCACCCTCTCTCTGCCACGTATTACCCACACAAAGCCACGTAGCTAACTTCAGTCCACCCTGTCAGCTGCTCCGTTAAAAACTTCACGCCGTTTCCAAAAAGGACTTGATTGCACACTTTTTACAAAAGATGGGATCACATTGAACTTCTAAAAAAAGGTGGGACCACATTGAACATTGGCCCCCTTTCTAGGGACCAAAAGAGGTATTAAACCAAAAATATATTCAAAAATAATAAATCAAAACATTTAAATGAAATTATTAAAATATCTCTATAAAAAGAATAGACTAATAAAACAAAACCTAAAATAAAAACGTAAACTTTAAACGGATGTTGACATATCTACTGAAGGATGCTCACCTCGGTTTAAAGTTTACGTTTTTATTTTAGGGTTTATTCTAGGATTGATTACGCATCTGGAGGAAGCACCACTACACGCACCACCACACCACTAAGACCGAAACCGCGCTTGATCAATTCTTTCCACCACCACCAACCTTTGCAATCTCTCACTAAGTATACCACCGAATGAAACTACACCGCATTCTCAAAGCGAAACAAAGAGAGGAAGAAATCCAACGTTAAAATGAAAGAAAAGCTTCTTGCTCGTGCATTTATGTAGGGGACTAGTAATGGGTGATTAGTGGAATGGGTTGGGAGTGGGTAAAAATTCAAAAATATTAACCCTAAAAATAAAATTTTAGTGAAGGACAAAACATTAAAGGGGAGGTGGAGGGAGCAAAGGGTGGTGGTGGAATATGAAAGGTAAATATGTATTTGACATTCTAACCCCTGAATCTAATGTGTATTCATAGTTACTAGTACTAAACACAAATTAATAATTTTATTATTGAAATTTTTGTAGCTATTTGTATGATATTGGAGTTGGCTGAGTTAAAAAACTCTTTACCTTTTTTTATTGTAATTACTTACAAATGTATTCGTAGGTAATATTATCTACGACTATTTTATTTACGAATTTTGGTATGTAGATAATTCGTAAATAATAACAAATTTTTGGTCTTACCTACAAATTTTTAATTTAATGCACAAATCTTTCGGTGGATATTATTTTCACTAATAATTCAATGAAGTAAGATAATATTTGTGTAGTGTGGACGTTGAATTTTGTAAAGAATGTGGTTTCTCCTTATTCGTTATGACTATGTTTTTATAACGTTAACTTGCCTTGGGTTTTTGTTTGAGTGATTTTTTCTGTGATACATGAGAATGTGCAGAATAGAGGGGTGTCAACGGCTGTTTAATGTAAATTTTATTTTGAAAATTTTAGTTCATGAAGAATGTAAATATTTTAATATGAATAAATGTTTTTCTATATTTATGAGACAGTGAGTTGAATCACATGCTAGATGATATTATCCTATTAAAGGTATGATGATTAGCATACAACTAGCTAGACGATAGACAAGTTGTTGTAATAATAGGAGAGCATAAGGGTGTTACATAACACCCTACAAAATAAATTAAATTTTATATAATAGTTCTTGTATAGAAAATTAATTATAAATTTAATAGAAAACAAATAAAAGAACAAAGTTTCTTCTCCCCATCCTAAAGAGAAAACAAAGTCTAATAAGAAAAAAGTTAGCTGTGAAATATTAATTTAATTACTTCCTTTCTCTCCTTATAATATTAGTGAAATTGATGAAAAAAAAGAGAGTAAAAACTCATAAGAAATGAGTAGAGTAAATATAATAATATATAATTATATAATTTATTTATGAAGGTAATTGGAAGTGGTTTTAATTTATTAACCATGAATTTTTTTTTGAAAATATGCTATTGAAACTTATTAATAAACATATATACTATTCAATTTTAAATAAAAGTTATACTTAGATAAATATATTTTGTTATTTTTTAATATTATTTAGGATTAATTATGTTTTGATTTTCTTGACAGATAAATTTTTATAGTGAATTTTAAAATAACTTCCATGTCATTTTTTAGAAATGATGTTCAAACATTAATTTTCATAAAACATAAAATTAACTAATTTATAATTTAGTTTAAAGTTTAAACATAATTTTTTATAATAATTTAAAAAAAAACATATCCAACCATAGTTTTTATTACAAATACTTTTTATTACAAATAATAATTTAAAACATATTTTACAAAGATGTTAATCTAAAATTGCAATAAAATAAACAAAGAAGAATAATATATAGAGAAAAAAGAAATAAATGACTTGTGTGCTAAGTATATCTCTTGGGAAGGAAAGTAAGAAAAGAAGAAGAAGAGGTGGAGAGTGAGAAAGACAGCGAATGAAGGAATGGAAATGGAGTCTGGTCCTCCTCCCAACGATCTCTGTTCAATCTGCCATGCCAACTTTCACATTCCTTGCCAAGCCAATTGCTCTCACTGGTTTTGTGGTATCAAAACCCTCTCCTTCGCTTTCTCTTTCCACCCTTCAATCTTTCTTCCATCAATTCTCAACCTTTTCATTTTGCAGCAAATTGCATCATGCTCGTGTGGCAGCACGCATCAGGAACAAGTTCTTGCAAATGCCCTCTCTGTCGCCGACCCATCACTCTCTTAATCCCCACCGAACACTCTCTCAGCCAGCGTCATGACCCTGAAGTTGCTCAGATTCTCTCCAAAATTCATGCTTATAACCGTGTCTTCGGTGGCCAACCCTCCTCTTTTTTTCAGGTGCCCATCTTCTTTCTTCTCGCTTTCTTCCCTTTGATTGCACTTTTTTGTCGAATTGATTCCGAATGGTGATTGCAGAGAGTGCAAGATCTTCCTTTTCTGTTGCACAGGCTGCTTCGGGAGTTCCTAAACCCTCAAAGATCCCTTCCTCTTGTCATCCGCGCCCGTGTCTTTGTTGCTGTCAGTTTCCTCACTCTTTCAATTCCTTACTTGCTGTGTTCCTCAATCGATTTTCCGTTATTTTCTTTTATGGTCTTCAATTTTGATAAAAGGGGTAATTTAGGTTTTGGGTATCTTTGGTTCATATGGGTTGCGTTTGTCGGTAATTTGTTTCTTTAGAAGTTAACAATTCATGACAATAAAATACTAACAAGATTGATGTTATTGTACCCTTAAAAATTCAAGGGTTTGGGTATTGGGCTGATTGTTGAATACGAGTTTGAGCAGGGCAAGGGAGAGAACAAGGAAATTCCCAATAATAGGACTAAATTCTTAATAATAGACGCAGTGGAGTTTCACTTATATCAGAAAATATGTGTTGAATGGCGCTTTTCATTGAAAGTAGGGAAGGTGATGGAAAATTCCCAAACAGATACATGTTAAGTTTTGTTTTTCTCAAAAATTATCAATAAACATCCAAGTCCTCACCTACATTCAGAGAGAACAATGATAGAATAGAAAGAAGCGTAAATGTGTAATGAAATTAAATAAATAAACCGTGCTTATATGTAATAAGTGCGTTCTTGGGGCAAGAAAAGAGAGAAAAAAATGAAGTGTGTAGAGGTTCCATACATGGGTGAAGTTTGTTTTCCCTTTCTTATTTGTTTGTGATTTCCTTTAGAATTAATAAAGATCCTTTTAGATGCCAAATTTATTGTAATCTTTTTCTAGCAATCTTGATAGATTTATTATTTTATATTAATATATAAAGAGAAGGGTCATATTGGTTTATCTTTATTTACAGATGATTGCAAGTGTTGTATACATCCTGAGCCCAATTGACCTCATTCCTGAAGGTATAATTATTGTACCCTTTTTCTTTTTGGGTGGGAATTTGTATAATATTTCATACAGTAACTGTGTTTCTCTTTTTGAATGGTTGTTCCAGCTATATTAGGAATAGTTGGTCTCTTAGATGATGTCTTAATTGGGCTCATCTGCTTCCTACATGTTGCTGCCCTTTATAGATCAGTTCTTTACCTCCGTCATGCCGGTTCCTGAACATGTTCTACAAATTTTCAATTTCTGTCCTCATGTGGATTTAAACATCAAGTGTACTTTCTTTTGTATGTACATATACAGCTTCAATTGCAAATAGTGGAATCAGTAATGGAAATTACAATGGAAAAGTGCTCTTAATGTTTTGCCTTTTTTAACTCTTTAATATTTTGTTTTCTTTTGAGAATTTGGGTTGTTGCTTAACCTATCATGATATAGCACGAAATATTTGAGCTTAAATGAATTTAACAGTTGCTGTGTGAAATTGCTTCCCTAACCCTGACAACAATGATTTCAAAACTTCATTTTCAGAATTATACTTTACACTATAAGTGTGTATAGAGTAGGATACGGAAATTAAGAAAGCAATTAATGATTGTGGGAGTGAAAACAAGATTTGATACAAGCAGTGAAGTGGTTTCAAGAAACAGGGGAAATTCCTTGAAGCTGTTGGAGCATATTCATTGAACTACATTAATCTTAGACGCTCAAACATAACTTGATAGTAGAGCTGTGAATTTGACCCATGATCCGGAAAAACCTCCTCTTAAGAAGTCTCTCAAATAGGGACCAAAAAGAAGCCCTAACCTTCAAAGTTCCCTCTTAAGGAGGTTAGGGCTAGGGTTAAGGTGAGTTTAACTTTACTAAAAAAAATTTTGAAACTAAATTTCAACATTCTTATGATAACTATTAAAAGTACTAAATTTTATATTCATGTAATTGATTTCTTATTTCAAATTATTAAATAAAAGTAATTAATTATAGTTTAATAGAATATTTAATATTCAAAATAACCACTTTTGTAAATAATTAAAAACAATTGCAAACCACACACTTAATTTTATACAACTAAATAATATTACAAATTTATTTTACTAAAATATTATAAAAAAAATTATTTTATTGTCAATTTTAATACAATTATGTCTTATATTGCAGACACCAATTATTAAAAAATTATATATAATTAGTAATATCAAAATAAGAGATAATAACATATTAAATTGATTTAATATTTGTATTGCTTTTACAGTTCTTAAAAAGAATCACGGTTTTGTTTCCTCGACTTCTAAAATATCACTATCTGTTTCTAACTATTTAAAATTAAAAATAATTAAAAAAATTATTATCTAAAATTTTTGGATCATAAATAGTATTAATATTTTATGTGTAAATTAAACTTATGTTTTATTTTGTTTTTTTCTCTCTTATAATCTTTTCTCAAAATTACCATAAGATATATTATAAAAAGAAAGTTGATTTCTTAAAAATTTATTAAAAAAATGAAAATTTTAAATAGATCTAAAGTACTAAAGAATGACAAATGTTAGAGTATTTCAATTCTTTAACTAACACATTAAATAATTTATTTTTAACTTTCAATTAAAACACATAACATAGATGTATGTTTATGATATTTAAAATATAAACATTTTGAGTGAGTAGTACGACGAGTTTGAATCTTATGGGCGAATACAACTGCAGCCTGCATAAGGTTTATGAGTTTTCTCTTTTTACTTATTATTTATGTTATCAGCATGATTTGTTGAGTATAAAATGAAAAAAAAAATCATTTATATTTAATTTCTTTTTCAATAGCTTCTTTTAAAGAAAAAGAAGCCTATTTTTTTTTTAATTAAGAGCTTCAATTAGAGAAAATCTTCTCTTAAATTTCAATTAGGATAATTTTAGATAGAAAGTTAATTTCTAACTTATAACCTAAAAAAAGCGAAATTAAATATTTAAATTTCAAATTTATGAAATGATCCTTTAATTATATACTTAGAGAATCTAACTCAATAAATATTGTCATTTTGCTTTTGCTTCTTGATTCTAGAACTCTCCTCCTATAAAAATTTCAATTTTATTTTCTATAGTAACTATTTTTGTAACAAATTAGGAGTTAATTATATTTTTTCTTGTATTCAAAATGAACATTTTTTCTAAAAAAAGATCCATGGGTTGACCTTGATCCACAGGACTTTTGAAGATATTTTGACCCAATGAACTAAAAATGTGGATTTTTCTGGCCCCAACCCACATGAGTTAGAGCCAAACCATGTAAGGAGGCCGAATTGACGGATCTACTTGTTACTTGTAAGCAAACAAAACTTATTACTTCTAATTAATCTTACTACAACCCTTCAACGTATTATACCTCCATACACTTTTATTCACTACAAACTCGGTAAATATTTTTCTATAATGCTTAATTAATATATATAAATATAAATACTTTGTTCATAAAAAGAAAACTCATACAATTAGGAGGTATCTAGAAATTTTGTGCATGAATTTAAATTGGAAAAAAGAGAGAATAATTTTCTATAATTATGATATAGGGTATCACATGTATCCGATACATTTTATACGTTAATTTTAAAAATAATAAAATACAATACAGGGTGTATATATATATATATATATATATATATATATATAAAGTATATAATAATTTTTAAAGACATAATAAGTATAGGATTCTCATTGTCTCAATCCAAATTAAAATCATGTATATTAAATTAAAAAATTATAAGTTATTGTGCATATATGATTCGAATTGAAGTTGCCACGTGCCATAGTTATAAAATAATAATTTTATCAAGAAAATAAAATTGATGCTCAGTATATTTTATTGATAGTGTTTTTGTTTGTAGTATAACATATTTTTGGAATCAGTGGAGTTTATAAATAACATTATTATTATTATTAGTTATTTGGGAATTTGGAAAATAGTGATGGGCAAAATGGTAAAAGGAGTGAATGGTATGGTTTTTATTTGTGTTGGAAAAGAAGGAGTGTGGGGAGCAGCGCAGGGAGAAGAAGGAAGAGCGCAGAGAAAAGTGACAGCATCTGCCACCGCGTCGTCCGAAGGTAATCTCATTCTTTTCGATTTCCCCTCCATCAGATCGATCATCAGTTACTCGTTTTTCAATTTCATTTGCCCCTTTCACATCCTTCTTTTTCACTTTTCAGATCAAATTCAACCGTCCCATTTTCGGTTTCTTTAGCTACCCATTTTCTTCAATCTCTGTGTTTTTTACTGTACACTGCTATTCCGTGACAAATTCAAAATTTTATATTTCATGTTTGTGTTGTGAATCCTCTTTCTGATATCCCAAATCAGGGTATTGTCATGTTTTGATTTTGTTATCTGCGATGTTGCAGATGATTGATGATCAAGATCTGGGTTTCTTTGCCAATTTTCTTGGCGTCTTCATCTTTGTGCTGGTGATAGCATACCATTTTGTTATGGCTGACCCAAAGTTTGAAGGGAACTAGGAAAGCGTTTTAAGTTAATGATGTAATTTTCGTTTTGTAGACTGAGATGCTTTGCAAATGGATATTTGATGCAATCAAGAACTCTAGTTTGGGAATGCGAATGTTAGCTTACGACTAAAGGTTTCTTGCTATACTCATGTGCGATACCATAAGCTTTGTTTGTTTTAATGGAATTTTGATTGAAAAAATAATGAAAATATTGAATTTACTTTGAGATTAGAAATTTTTTCTTTATGTTCCTTGGAGAATTATCTTTCCTGGAGTTGGTGGATGCTATATGAAGTATTGAATTTTCTTCTTTGGATGCTTCAAAAATCCTGTGTTGGAGTTGGATACACTTTTTAAATTGGATGAATTTGTGCATACTGGATTACATGATATTGGTTAATTCGTAGTCATGTTGCTACATTTTCTGAGTGATCAGCTTCATCTCTACAAAACACTTTTAAGTTTTGTTTGTTTGACTTGAGGATTCTCCCATACAGGTAGCTCTTTCATTTTCAGCTTATCTTTCAATCTGCTTTATTTCCTTTGTCTCCTCCCTCTATCAAATAAAAGAAAACGATCTGTGTTAAAGTGTCATGCCAACTTTCACAATTTAGATGTGATGGGAGCTCCATGTATTAATGGATGAAAAGTTCGATATTGAATTAAAGTAGACGAGTTTTTGTTTGAAAGTAAATGTGCAATATCATAAAGAGTGGCAAAACCTGTAAATTCTGTTTGGAGTTGAAGACAAGACACCTTAGCTGAAACTTTTTTCTTCTGCTAAAATTTAAATGGATAGTAAGCTTGACTCCCAAATATGATTATTATACGACACGTAATAATACAAGCCTCTTCTATTCATTGAATAATCTGTACCCTATATTGTGGATTCAAGGATTATGTGTGTATTATCTGCATCTAACTCAAGGATGAGTCGTCTAGCCATCGGAAGTAAATGTATAGCACAACATTGACCAAGTGTTCCAATCATGCCTATGAACTTCTTGCATGTTGTTACTTCTGCACACCTTTTGTCTGCAACTTCTTCTGAAATGTTTCGAAAGTATTTGACAAAATACATCTCATAATGAGAATTCTGGATGACATCCCTAATGAATAATCCGAAGAAACGATGCGCGATATATGTATTTAATTCTGGCATAACGTTCCCACAAATAGTTTATATATACTGAAAAATCGGTTCCAAAAAAGAAAAATTTAAAACCTTTTTCGGAATAGTTTATTCAGAATTTTTAAAACCATATGAAAACCTTGATTCGGAACACAGAATAAGGAATAGGTAGTCAACTTTGAACCGTATAAATGCTAGTCTTCTATCGAATTCCGGATGTTATTGCATTGATGACTGTTACATGATACTTGCAACTTGCGAATATAAAAAACTTTCCGACTTTACATTTATTTGGGACATAGATATAGTAGCAATTGTGAGTGAGAAATGTTACAGGTGGCAATGTAGTGACAAAATCACTTTTTTTCACTTTTTCTTTTTCTTTTTCTTTTTCCTCCTTAAACTTTTAAAAACCACTTTCATTCTTCATGATTCATCTTGGATTGAGCTGTCTCAATTGCAAATAATGCTCATCTTGCAAGTGATTAACAAGTAATTACACTCCATTTCAAAAATAGCTTAAGTTTGAAACGGATAATCAAAACAAGAAATGAAAGAAAGAAGTAAAAAAAAAGTTTATGGTAAAGGTGCACTTGTTTCAGACAGTCCAATTCAAAGTTATCAACCTTATAATTACTATTTGAAACACAATTTTATTCTCCCGCTGGTATCTAGAAGGCTTATTCAAATATTTCTGGAAATCTGATATGAAACGTACACACCAAAATACCGGCTGCGATGCAGTCTTTCTTTCACATTGTAGGGTGCTCCAAAAAGGATACGGGATGCAGAAAGGGAGAGCCTTTGTTACTATTGCCCAAGGAAATATGAGAAGCCTCGACATCTTAATCGAACCGAACCCAAGAAAATCCATCTAAAGAATATCAATACAATTTCATGCTTTCCAAGATACAAGATTAGAAAAATGTCAAATTCAAAAGATTAGAATGCACTTTCATCAGTTCCTGGAAAATACATGTGCATCATTTACGTAGTGCCTATACATTTGAAAAAACATTCGAAGGAACAACTTGACGAATCACTACAAGAATTCCTCTAATACCTGAATAATCTAGATGCGTATTTACAGAGAATACAAAGGAACACAATTAATCCAAACCCAAAATGCCCAAACCCAACAACCGGTAGTCTCAATCCATATGATGGCCTAACATCTTTCAAAAATCTTATACAGTTTCTCCAGCGAAGTTATCTGTAAAAATACAAAAATTCATAGATGAAGAAATTATTGATGGAGCTAGTAAAATACTTTCTCCAGGATAATGTTGAATATCTACAGTCCTTAGATTCTCGGATTTGTATATATGTCAAGGTATTAACTAACAACTACCACTGGATTAAAGAAATTGAAAATTCGTATTCAAATCTTATTCTTAATCGGATACATGATTAATTACTTAGCTCTATTATTGGAGGCCTTGGAAAATACACATCAATATCAGACGGAGTACTCACTCAACATTCACTTATTCTTTATATGTTTTACAAAATAACTCTTGGTAACTTGAGGATCGGAGAGTTCTCTGCAAATGAACTTCTCGAGAGAGAACCAAAACATGGAATTCTTCCCAGATCATCCAAAGAGCTCAGAAAAGGAAGTTTTCCTCTTCCACATCTTGGAAGAACAGCCCTCCTCCCCATTCCACCAAAGCTATATTAAAAAATTATGTTACCTTCTGAAATTTAAGGGATTTGGTATTATTATGAAGAAAAGCTTTCTTTCTCTCTCCATTTATGCCTTGGTGTGTCCTAACTAATTCAACTACAACCCACAACACAACTGAGAAAACCCGTAAATTTCTAGCAACTATCAGCTATAGATCCGTAATTCTTAGTTACTAGCTACTGCCACGGACGGGCTAGGATAATTATTTGAAGAGAAAAATTCAGATTCAATGCTCAAATATAGCCAACATTTCGTCCCCTCCTCACCTTTTTTTATGATGTCCTCTGTAACCAGAGAGAGGGAGGGAGAGATATAATAAGACTTTTTATCAGTAACTGAGAAACTCTAGTCTTTATGTACTCTTAATCAGGCAACCCAGCATATACAAATAAACAAATAAAACAGTAAGAATTGTTATTCATAGTAGAGAGAGAATATGAAGGATGAGATTTTCATGGAGAGAAAGGTAAGCTTCCTGGGCTGATTAAAGCATTACCTGTACAAAGGTTCCATCAGTAGCCATAGAAACAGGTGGTTTGAAAAAGAGTCTCATGGAAGGAAAAAGCACATGTTGTATTGACCATTCGCGCTGCGCCCAAGTAGTCTCAGCTTCAGAAAGTAGTTCATGTTCAACTTTATTGTCAATCACGTCACTCCCTGAAGAACATTAACTCAGTCAAGTTTATTATAAAACACCACCACCAATGATTTATTTTCTCAATAACGATTTCCTGTTTTTTCCTTCCCAATCAAGAACCAGCTCCACCCCTTCATCTTTCTAGTAGAAACAATAACATGGTAAAAAATGGAATCAAGTAGAATTTTTGGTAGAAATGATCCGAATGAGCTTTCAGTAGATTTAAGTTGAACATGAAATAGCATGCTGCACTTAAAAGAAAAGTATAGGCAATAACTAGAAGTATAAAGCATAGCTGGATCTAATCCAGAATAATCAGCCTATAGTATCATCGTACGCGCTCCTTAAATTCTAGCCCAGAGAGGAATGATACAGTCTATTGTTGAAAAAGGGATTGGACAATTTTCAGCTCAGCAGGTGAGAGATTTCTACAAATACAAAGGTTTAATCCCGTGCAAAACTAGTCAGGTGGGCAGCCTCAGTAATCAGTACCCATGTGTTAAAACTAAGAAATGGTTTACATTGCATTGATGTATTTAATATATATATACATATACATATATGTATATATACATATACATATATGTATATATACATATACAAATATGTATATATACATATACAAATATGTATATATATATATATAAATAGATAGATAGATATTAAACAGATTAAACTTACGTCATTATTTATACTAATTACAAAAGCAAACATTATAAGATAAATGATAACTACGCTAAAAGATAAAGATGAGATAGATAATCTAGTCGTAAAGGATAATTTAAGATATGATAAAATATTATGTAGTCTAACACCCTGAGCAAGGCTTAGTTCCGCATCCAAAAGGGTGTGGGGCTACCTAAAAAAATAGTGAAATCTTTAGCAATAACATATTACCTAGTCTTACTCCCAAGACCCCCAGATATACTCTCCTTTTTTGTGGACATTTCCCTTGTCCAATCATTGAAGTCCTCGCCAATACGAAAACCACAAAAGAATCATTTGAAACTGCTAATGGACCGGGATTGGAATTGCTTCTATTATAAACAATCAAGGTTCCCAACTAACATTGTGTGCCTAACCCATTATGTTGTCAATTTTCCCGCTGAATTTGATATATAATAGTTAAGTCAACAATGATTAAAACAATAGGGAGAAATTTATTTAAGTTCTCTAACTAGTCATAATCATCTATTCTCATCAGACTTCACAAGGAGAAAGATCGATCGTGGAAAATGTAAGCTCAGCACCAATGTTAAAAGGACAAAGAATTCAAATCTACTACACTGTTAGGACTCTCTGATATCGCCCAGACTGCAGCTAGGAAAACAATCTCTCCCTTTCCAAAAAAACATATCACTGCAATGCCTCTTTATTTCTCCAAGGATCAAGAATTACATAAAAAAATGGTAAACAAGTTTACCCCCAAAAGGAGCGGTCTCCTTTTCTACACTGGAATACCCAGTTTACACAGTCAAAATTTCTTCACCTCCTTCTAGTGAAACCAGAGCACTCCATAAAAAGTAAATATATTTCCTTAATTGGCAGTTTTGTAAGATTGAGTTAGGGTTAAAATCTTCTTCCTAATATTGTATCAGAATCTATTTGAACAAGGTTTCTTGGACCTATTGGGTTTGTCATGCCACATGCTATCAAATCCCCTGTAAAGATCTAGTGTTACATTTGAGATGTTCACTCTTTGGCATGATAGGGGGTTAAGTTGGAGATCTTACATCAATTGGAAATAAGATCGAAATACAATATATAAATAGATACAAACTACACCTTATAAGTTGGTTTTGTAAGATTGAGATTAAAATCGACTTCCTAAAAATTACACAACACAACATTTCAGCTTAAATGAATTCAGCAGTCGTTATGCAAAACTTCTTCAAGTACCTTAATAACTATAATTTCAAAACTTCATTCAGTCACACAAAACCTCTTTGGGCAGATTTTTACTTTCCTTTATATTAAAAGTTTTCTTTAGTGTTAAGTGGGGATATATCCACACATGTGTGGTATGAATGATACACAAAGTAACAAGCATAAATCCGTACCGATATTATCATGGGTATTCTCTTCAACACAGTCATCCATCATTTTTCTCTTCTTGTAAAAAAGAAAACCTTCACCAGATGGATTGGGTAACATCGGTGGATGCATAGCATAGAAGTTTCCCAGAGCAGCTGAAATCGTTTGAATGCAACTCTTTTCATCTTCCCAGTCAACCTATCATAAAAACGAATCACAATCTTTCAACAGTAAAGAAAAAAAACGATGTGATCAGAAAACATTATGAAGCATTTGTAATTATTAATAAGCACGTCCTTGATTATTAGTGGCAACGAATTCAATGGAATAACAGCTGAATAAACAGATAGTACTTACTCAAACTGTAAACAAGAAACACAAAAAAATATATCAATCATAGTACATAAACTGAACTCAGGCAACAAAAATAAAACCCATAATATTAACAATGAGCCAGATATATGCAGAAAAAAGTAACAGAAATTTCTGCAAATTGGCGAAGAGAGAAAGAACATAGAGATCTATAACTGACATCATTGCCCAAACAAAGAGCAAACTCTGGGATCCGATCCATGTCTGGAGTGTATTGATCAAGTATCACAGGAAGTCTAGAGACATTTCCATGCTCATCAATATGAATGCCGAAATATTCCTCAAGCATTTCAGGCTTTTGTTTCAGCAGTTCTGTGTTCATCTGGGGAATAGTAAAACAAATATATGTAAATATAAAAATGTGAAATCCAAACGAAAACTATCATGTGAATATGTGCATATTGTTGTCAATAAAGGATTATTAGGATAAAATATGCTCAATAATTCAAAGAATATCGTCAAAGTCTTCCTATTCATTTCAATATATTTTTGTTTCCTTATTTTAGAGAGTTTGATTGTTACAAATAGAGGCAATGAAAATATAATTTTTGTGATTGTTATCAATAAAATAATTCTTTATTTCCTTAGTTCATGTTTGTACTAGAGCTCTCAATCTTGGTTGTTTTGTTTCCGTTTCCATGTAAACAGCTGCCATCATTGCCCCAAGATCAGTGGTGGGGCCAGAAAGGTGTGCCCCACACCAGTGATCACAATGTCAGCAATTGCATCACCATTGGAGTCACCAAGTGAGTCACACATCACCACTAGTATCAAAGTGTTTGGCTTGTGCCTAGCTCTGACAAGGCCTGATTTAGTTACCTTTTGGCACACAAGACCAATTGTCTGAGGTGAAATTCATCCCTATGGGTCCTACCTAATGATCTTCCAAATGTGGTGGCCCCTACCAATATGTTTACCGGAATTAGTTGCAGTGGAGCTAGTACATTAGGAGGATTTTGAAGGGAAAATCAAGATTAGACCACATCGGTGATGGAGGACCAGAGTAAGATGACTCTAATTTTGGGATAGTGAATATTTATTACTGATTATTTGGATGTTGCATTTCATGATTCTTAAGATAAATAGAAACTATATGCTCTATTCCTCTGCTAAAGAGATATAGAATGATTGAAATAACATTCTTGCTTTGAAGAAGGATTTTGCCATATGTTACGATATTGAAAGCAAGGTGTTTAATGCTAAATGGGATTCTCTCTATATCGGAATATCAAGGAATTTTGCATAGGTTGTGCATCAAACTAAATTAATGCCAAAATTTAAGGATGAAAATTTCCTTATTTAGTTCCCTACTCTATTTCAAAATCTAGTAGAGTCAACGAAGCCCTACGAAGACATACTTTTTGAAGTGAGGGCTTTTGCAATGGATTCTAACAATTGACAGATCCAAACAAATGTAGTTTGTTAAAACAAAGACCTCCTAAACCTATTGAACTGGTGTTGCACAAGTAAAATAAAATGCTGAGTACGAAAAGAAACAACTATGCTTCAATAATCCTAACCGAGAGTAAATAAAAGCTACCATTATTGAAGACACATCAAGGAAAACAATCAGTCATGAAAGGCCAGAGGGAGATTACTTCTGCAATCTTGTCTTTTAATGTGTCATCATCATTACAATCCGAATCTAGGTCCTCTTCCTTGAGTGCCAATATAATCAAGTCTTTCAAGGGAACTGGATCATTTAGTTGAATGGCATTGAAATGGCCAAAACGGCTGAGAACTTGCTGATACATGAGTTCTTTGCTGCAATAAATTAAGGATATAATGTCAGGGACCACTTCTAGAGAGCAGTTAGGCGGAGGGCCAAAATTAATTTTTTATTTCTAACACGCTCCATCATAAAAGAATGCTCAGGGCCTAAAATTTTAACTTAATAATTTCTATTGCTTTGAACTATTAATTCTCCTACTTGTTTAGATCAACACAAGAATGTTTTATGTTCATATTTACTTATAAAATTAAATTGAATTAACAACTACTTAAAGTTGAAAGGCAACACTAAGGCCTTGTGCATAGATTTTTTTCTATAAAAAGGATAAATGGATGTGTATCTTGGCAAAAGTATGGGATTGTGTTTTAAGACCAAAGACATCTTATTTTCCCTTACCCTCACATTCTTTCATACATCCAATCATAAGGGAGATGGTGATAGAGCTTCACCAACACATGCTAGGACTTTGAGATGAGAGAATGAAGGTGGAAGACCCATTAGTCCCTCTCAACCGTGCTCAAAACAGCAGAAACATAGTCTTTGAGCGTAACAGCTTTCTCAACTAAAACCCCCCATGGAATTTAAACTTTCCTTATGGTTCTTCACATGGCAGCCTTAATTGAATGAAAGTGGTATGTTATAGTTAGACTGGTATCAATTACAAATGATTTTGCTGAAAAAGAAAGCCGAAACGATTTTGAGATTGTAGCTTCTTTCTTTAAATTTGTTTTTTGAATTGTAAATATTTCATGAAAAAACTAAGTTGGTATCTATCACAAATGATTTTGAGATTGTAGTGTTCTCTTTTAATCTGTTCTTTGACTTGTGTTATTATTGCATGAAAAAACTAAGTGGGATATTGTGAAAAATCCTGATTTGGTTACTGCTGCTTTCGAAGGAAAATAACTGTAATAGGGTGTCATTAAATCATTTAAATAGAAGACTCGGAGACATTCTGATGTTGCTTTTAGTTGGTAGGTTTCTGTCTATTCCTATCTATATTTACATGTTGATTTGTTAACATTTTCATAGATTGAGCAGACATAAAATTTATACACTTGATGAGATAATCATGAACTAAGAAACCAAAGCTGAAATTTCATGCTACATAATATGTAGACTACATGACTTGGTTCATGACATAGGTATGTACCTTTATGTGATCATTGGAATTTTATTTTTGACTAGTAAACATCGTGGCAAGGATAGTTTGTTCCATGTAGTGAGCATGGTGTGGGAAAGAACAATGAATCACAGAATTGACCGAATCCTCACTTTTAAAATCATCTAAATTAATCGCTAACATATTTCCATACTATATTAAGTGAATATCTAGATTATAAGTCGATTTGAGATCTCTAACAATAATTATAGAAATAAGGAATTGATCCTACATAAAAAAATATCTAGATTATATTCGTATTATTACAAACATTTTATTTAGTCTCATGTCTTTGTCATTGGAGGATATCAAATGTCCTCTATTTTTTGCATTGATTTCTTTTTCCCAATATAAATAAAGCAATAATGTTGTCTCACAAAAACACAGTTCCATCACCACTAGATTTGTCAGCTATAATCAACAATTGCTTGACATATTCACCAAATCTTTAAGAGAACCAAGGATAGATTATATTTGCAGTAGGCTGACGTAAATGGCACAGCTTGGGGAGGAGTCCTATAATTATAGAAATAAGGAGTTGTTTCTATATAATTACAAATATCTAGATTATATATATTATTAGGAACATTTTTATTTATTCCCATATCATAAATTTGTTATTGGAGGATATCAAATCTCCTCTATTTGTTGTATTGATTGCTTTTTCTCAATATAAATAAAGCACTCCTACTATCTTAGAAACACACGGTTTGATCTCAACTCAACACTTCTTTGTTCCCTATAGTTTAACAATAATAATGATAATGAGTGAAAAAAGTAAAGCCAAAAGATTGGTCGTCTACTGTTAGGAAGCTAAAAGTATATGTAAGAAGAAATAAAAGAGGAGGGAATTAAAAAGCGGGAAAAGTGGTTAGTTTGTTAGTGGAGAGAGAGTATAAATAAAACTGAGTTGGCTGAGGAGGGGGGATCGGATATTTTCTTGAGTATAGACTAAACATATTTTCTAGTGGAGGAAGCTAGGCTTCCTTGAGCGGGGTGCATACTTGTATTTTCGATACTTTACAGAATCAATAATACATACATACATACTTTCTTTTCTGTTATTTGAGTGTTGAAGAGAGTATAGATTGGGTTACTCACAGAAAGTAACCTAACAGATTTGGTCCGACCTGCCGGATCTGTATGGAAGAGCAAACGGAGTGCATGTGAAGAAGAAGAATGGAGGGAAGGGTGATTGCGATTGAGTCGACGGTAGAAGAGTTGAAAGCGGAGATGAGAGCGGTAACTCGTGAACTCCAAGCATTTGGACGCGCTCTTGGACGACGAACCAGGAACTAGGATCGGAGTTCCGAAGGAAGTCGTGATTCCGTCAATGCAGAACAAGAATGACGACCGCCGGAAAACTCGGAGGATGAATCGGAAGAAGACAGAGGAGAAGTTCAACGTATGAAGCGCGTTGAACTACCTACATTTGAAGGTACGAATCCCATGGCCTGGATCGTAAAGGCAGAGAAATTCTTTGACCTCCAGAGCATGACGGAGAAGGAGAAGATGAAGCTCGTCTATATATGCATGGAGGGAGGCGCAAACTATTGGTTCTCCTTCTGGCGGAAGAAAACTAGACACTCGACTTGGAAGATGTTCACTGACACTCTGACGCGGAGGTTTGGCGGACTAAATCGAGGCACCGTTTTTCAGAAGCTGGCAGCAGTGCGACTGAAGGGGAGCGTCAACGAGTACATCCAGGAGTTTGAAATCCTAGTGCCGCAAGCATCGGGAAAACCAGATCACTCCTCACTTTATGTCCCTGTCGATCTTGTAGCTAGCATTATAACGGGTGTTGAGGCTGATGTGGCCACTTAGCGAATACCAGATCCTTCCGTGTTGATTTTTGCTCAGTTGGGCCTTGAGTTGATAGTGTTGAACATTGATTGCCCTCTTTATGACATAGTGACACGACAAAAAGTTCTTGCAGATATGGATGAAGCACTTGAAGCTGAATATAATACCCTTATAGATGACATGATATTGGTTGTTGCTCAGAAAGGTGAACAAGCAATGCAAATGTCTCTTGAAGACGGTTTAGAATATGGCCTCAAGATTCAGCATACGACACGCACCAAAAGCAGTGAAGAAACTGAACAAAACAATTTTGCAGATAGACCATTTGATTACAAAAGGGACAGTTCTGTGGAAAAAAAGCTTGATGAGGAGATTTTGAGCCCTCAAGAGAGGAGGGTTATGGATTAGCACTTTGTTCATTTGGAGTATGGTTGTGCTACTTCACTTAATGATGTTTCTCTTCCCCAATGGAATCAAGATGATGTGTATGGGGTTTTGGAGGAGCTCATTGTATGATTAAAGGGGGTTACAGTTCCGTTGTTGAGTCTCTCGGAGAAGGAATTACAATTCCCTTGAACCACGTTGTAACAAATGTGTCATATGGTATCAATGAGCCTGGTCAAAGTTATAAAGTCAAAGTTTCTACAGCAAATGGCAATGAGTTCTTTGGTGATGTTGTCCTTGTTACTGTTCTACTTGGCTGTTTGAAGGCTGAAACTATACAATTCTCTCCACCTTTGCCACAGTGGAAATGTTCTTCTGTTCAGCGTCTTGGTTATGGAGTTCTAAATAAAGTGGCTTTGGAATTTCCTAGTGTATTTTGGGATGATGCTGTGGACTACTTTGGAGCAATAGCTGAGGAGAGAAATAGCACAGGTCACTGATTTATGTTCTGGAATGTCAAGAAAATAGTTGGGGCTCCTGTCCTTATTACATTAGTGGTTGGTAAGGCAGCCATAGTTGGTCAAAGCTTGAGATTTATGATCATGTTAAACATGCATTGAAGGTGTTAGATGTTAAGATGTGTGTTTCTGTTATTTGGGCTTAGTCTATTCTGTATTAAGGGCATTGGCCCATATCATACAATATAAATAAATTACCCTATGTGTATGCAAAACACACAAGGGATATTTTCTCCCAATCTTCTCTATTTCTCATATGGTATCTAGAGCACAGGAATAGTTCCAGTCAACTCCACGGTCTCCGGCACCCCTCACTGCCGCTGTCGCTGCCG